CCTATCTCCATACCTTTTCAACCTGTATGCAGAGTAGATTATCCGAGAGGCTGGACTCTATGAGGAGAAGCATGGCGTTAGGATTGGTGGACGATCTATCAACAATCTGCATTATGCAGATGACACAACCCTGCTTGCTGAAACTGAGGAGGACTTACTATTATTCAAAGTATAACAGAGTAAGATTTGTGTATTGACAAAAATTTTTATGTGACATGGACAAAGATTCTATCCCAAAGGCATTTATGAAAGGCTTATGTAATGAAAGTCATGCTAATCTTGTATTCTCTCAACAGGAGTTGAGACTAATGTTCCAGAAACTTTACTTATATGACTGTGAAATATAATGACAATACAACCCCAGTTTTGTGTGGGTTGGCTCCAGTGCTGAGCAGTGTCTCATTAGAAATATATTTGCTTTTCTTTCTACATTCATTCTCACTTGAATTTTGTCCTTACAAACCAACACAAACCTTTTTCTTTAATAGAATATCTGATATATAAAATGATTACATAAAATCAGGCCAAGCTTATAATCTCCTACAACCTTGCAGAAACTCAAGACAATATTAATAGCAGTTCTATTTTGACTATAGAGAGAGCTATCATTTATAACCTGTGGGTTTTGTGTGGGTTTTTTTTCTGAAAATAAACTTAAGCTTGACTTTGACTTGAAGGAACATACTTCCCTAAGGACTGTTCTGATAGGTATGGAGCTCACATACCACAGATAATTTACTATCATTATACTCCTATGAAAAGCCCCTTATCTAGGCTTTTCTTCCTTTATTATTGTTGTTAAATGTTATCTAGTCAGGGAAGACTCATAGCAACTAGTGTACAATGGATCTGAGTCCTGTCCTATACTGTGCCTTCCTGAACATCTGGGACATACTGAAGCTGACTTTTCACAGTCACTGTGTCGGTCCTTCTCACTGAGAGACTTCTCCTGTCTTGCTGACCTTCCACCTTTCCAAGGATGATGTCCTTTAATAAGGACTAATCCTTTCTAACAACACATCTAAAGTATGTAAGATGAAACTTCCCTCTTCTTACCTCCATGGAGCACCCTTTTCCAACCTATACTTGTTTGTCCTTTCGGCAGTTCATGGGATATCCAACAGTCTTCTCCTTGCAACTCAAAGGCACTGATCATTCTTCTGTCATCCTTAGTCATTGTCCAACTTTCAACTGCATAGCAAGTAACTGAAAAGATTATGATTGGGTCAGATTCATCTTAATTTTCAAATTGACAGTGTTTCTCTTCAGCACTTTGGAGAGATCTCTGAGAGCAGGTTTTCCTAGTGCAATACATCTTTTGAATTCCTTGCTGCTGATGCCAAGGGTGTTTCTTGAGGATCCAAGCAAGATTAAATCAGTGACAATTTATCTTCTCCATGTGTCATGATCTTGCCTATTAATTGGACAAGTGGTGAGGATTTTTGTTTTCTTGGTGTTGAGATGTAACTCAAATTGAAGTCTTTGGTCCTTTGCACCATGTTTTTTAACACCTCCTCATTTTCAAGTAGCAAGCTTGTGTCATCTGCATACTGCAGATTATTTATGAGTCTTCCTCCAATCCTGGTGCCACATTCTTCTCCATAAAGCCTATCAAATGATTTGAATACAGATTGAATAGGTGTGGAGAAAGATGCACATCTTTGCTGATTTTTAATCCTGCTTTTTAGTCATGTATTTCCTTGATCTGTTCCTACAACATAGGTTTCACATAGCAAAATTAAATGTTCTGGTATTCTTGTTCTTCTATAATTTGTTGTGAGTCATCTGTCAAAAGTCTTTGAATAGTCGATAATACACAAAGAAACATCTTTCTGGTATTTTCTGATTTCAGCCAGAATTCATCTGATATTAGCAATATCCCTTGTGCCATGGCTGCTTCTAAATGTAGCCTGTATTTCTGACAGTTCTCTGTTGATGTACTGTTCAAGTTTGTTTTTAATCATCCTCAGCAACATTTTGCTTATATTTGATATTAATGATATTGTTTGGTAATTTCCACATTCTTTGGTGTCACCTTTTTTGGGAATGGGAACAAATATGAATCTCTTCTAGTCTATTGAACAGGTAGCTTTCCTACAAACTTACTGTCATAGAATGGTGAGCATGTCTAGGGCTTCAAGTTTACTCTTTATGGTCCTGGCTGTATCTCCTACTTCACTCATAGCATCAGTAGTTTCAGGTCTTGAAAGACACTCAAACTCATGAAAGCTACACTGCAATCCCAAAGGCATGTAGCTTGAATCCCCCAGCCGCTCCGAGGGAGGATGGGTAATCTCCTTTTGTGTGATTAACTGTCTCAGAAAATCCACTGGAAGGTCAACTATGGGTCAGTTCTTCTCTCATATGTGATCACCAGAGGAGTTTGTAGACAAACTCACTAAAGGGGGGTCATTAGCCAACAATTTTCTTTTAAAAAATATTTATTATTATTATTCATTTTAATGAACATTTACAGAGATTTTGGATTTCCACTCATTCACTGTTGCACTTTTCTCCCTGCCCACCCACTTCCCCAGTTTGCTCTTCTCTTTGAAAAGTAAAAGAAAAATTCCTTCATTGGTATACAATCTCCCCACGCACACACCCCCCCACTCCCCACTCTGCAACCTTCATTCTGGACTCTTATGATAATCATAATACCCTATAACAATTTCCTTTTGTATTTGGTAGTTGCAGCCTCTTTAGGTGAGGAACCCATTCCTAGAGCAAGTGAGGGTCACCAAGACCCTTTCTTCATGATTGATAGACAGTTATGACCATTGAGTGTTGTGTGTAGTCCTATACGTTCCTCAGAGGGATAGTTACTTATCTCAGACTCATTATTCTGTCACCATACCTACACTGCAAGCAGAATTCAATCAGGGGCGAAATCCTTCATGAAAGCTTTCTGTGTTCCTGAAGCTAAATGAAAGGTCACAAAGCAACTGTTGACCCACGGCCACATTGCCACTGCCTGTCAGCTTTCTCTGAGTTGTCTCTATTCGTAATAAACTCACCAATAATGAAAAGAAATGCTGCCTGAACTCACACCATTCCCATGATCAGTAGCTGATCACACTTTTGTGATGTGTAGGATTTTCATTTGCTGATTTTAAAAACAGAACATCAGGTCTGTCTTCTTAGTCCATCTTACGGCAGAAGCACTGCTGAAACTTATTCAGCATCATTTCAATACATGAGCTTCTACTGACAGGTGAAAGATGGTGGCAGATGAGGTACATTGAGTAGATTGAAACCCAGGCCTTTTGTATGAAAGGGGGAAATTCTACAATTGAGCATCATTACCTTACAACCCAGGATCATATGTTCCTTATTTCTGACTCCTAAGCATCAGCTCTGGCATGTAATGTATATTAAAAAAATATTTTACACATACAAGTCCATCTCTCAGTTTTAGTTATCCTGTCTTCAGTTTTATCTTGTGCCTTTTGTTTATATGTAAGTAAAGGACTGTCTAGCACATCAAACTTGTTTTGCTTTTCTACTTCAAAAATCATTTCTAATCAAAGACTTTGAGCCTTTAATCTGATAAAACACATAATGATTATAATGTAGAGTTAGAAATTACTACCTTTTGTCTTTCAGATTATTTGAATACATCCTCCTCTATAAGGATGGAGTTATGTTTCAGATTGAACAAGCCACCAAACAGTGCTCAAAGATGACCCTGACTATCCCCTGGGATCCTCTGGACATTCCTCAGAACTCTACCTTTGAAGATGAATACTCCATAGGAGGCCCTCAGGAGCAGATAATGGTCCAGGAGTGGTCTGATCGGAAATCTGCCAGAGCATGTAAGGATATCCCACTAAGAATTTCAAAACAAAACAAAACACAACACACACACACACACAGACACAGACACACAGAGACACACACACCCAGAGTACCAGTATTCTAGTATTTATTAGGAGAAAAGGCATTTACTAGGAGAAAAGTTGCTAGCTCAAACTCATCTAGAGGTATCCCAGAAAATTGCCCAGGTTATCTGCTTCCAAAAGGTCACAGCTTTGAAAATCCTGTGGGGATTTTCACACATAACCTTGCCTTGAATCTGAATTGACTTGATGACAACTAGCAAGAATGAGAACTCTGGTGGCTTAGTGGTAAGGAGTTGTGCTGCCAACTCAAAGCTATTAGGTTTGAATCTATTAACTGCGCTGTAGGAGAAGAATGGGCAATCTCCTTCCATATGATTAACTGCCTCTTAAAACCCACTGGAGGGGCATCTATGAGTCAATTGAGACTCACAGAGCAGGAAGAATAACTACATTTAAGTCTCCATGTATTTTGCTAATTATGTCACACTCATCATATTTGAATAATCTTAATCTTTAATGCCATTCGTCTCTTTCTTCCGCTTTGGCTTTTAAGAACTTGGCCTTAGTTCCTATCTGTTGTTTGAAAGCCATTTCTCTAAGGCACAGTTTTTTTGTTTTTTGGGTTTTTTTTTAATTTTTTTTAAGAATTTTTATTATTATTATTTTTTATGTGTGTACTGTCAAATCGGATCTGACTGGTACAGGAGGCAATTATTCCTCCTTCTTCAGCAGAGTATCTGGTGGATTTGAACCGCACACCTCTGGTATTGCAGTGCAGCTTCTTGCCATTAGGCCACCAGAGCTCGCCTAAAGCACAGTTTTGACCCCTTTTCTCAGTCACTTTTAAAGTTGCAGTGGACCAGACCATCATTCTGAGTCCCACACCAGCCTGTGCTTATACATAGATGTGAAGCTGTTCTCTGCTATGGGGCCAGTACACCTGCCCAAGATTGTTATTAAAAAATGCAGACACTTTGGCTGTTTTTGGTATAAAAGATGAAAGTCAACTTTGCTTTCTCATAACAGATGAAACCTGGATTGGCATTTATACAGCCAAGGATTGTTATCCTGTGCAGGAAACTTTCACCAAAAATTACAGTGTGCTCTTATCCACCCGGTTCTTCGACATCCAGCTGGGGATTAAAGATCCCTCCGTGTTTACGCCACCGAGCACGTGCGAGACAGCCCTGACAGAGAGGATGAGTGAAGACTGCTCCCTGTGAGCCGTGCACACAGAAACGCCAGCCTCGGGTGCCACCCACAGTGTCCCCACCTGGAATACCGACTTGAGAAGATGAGAATCACCATTGGAAAGAGTAATACAATAGTGTTTGGAAGATGTGCGTTTCTGTGTGGTTCTTGTATGTATGATTTTAACTACCTGAGCTTTACTTACAAAATTAAACTGATTGTAGGATGAGCGCAAGAGCCGGCTGGTATGGATGTTTTCAGTATTTCTAAAGCCTACATGCATTCTGTTATGTATGAATGTGCAAGTATGTGCATGCGGTGATGCACAAAAGGGGTTACAGTAGCAGTTCTTGGTAGGAAGGAGTATTTTATGATCAACAGTATTGAGAACTGATGTAACTTAGTAAAAACCCAATTATTTTAGTCAGTTGTAAAGTTCTCCACAGACAGAAGAACAAATAAGAAAAAAACTTATTATAATCTCATGTAGTAATTTGTTAGAGTAGAAATGAATTCCGTAGGTTTTCTAATGACAGATTTTTGAGATGTAGATCACGCCTTTTTTCAGAGGCGTATCTGGAAGTGACTGGAATAAATAACCTTGACTTTAACCTTGAATGAATCTGAACTTCCAAACTTAGTTATCAGCTAAGCTCATTAACTTTTTGCACTAACCTGGGGCTCTCTCTCTACAATGAGTCTGCTCCAGCATGATGGATTGCTCCCTCTGGCTCCTACAACATCCCAGTGCTCCTGTGGTCACGTAAAATGATCCCTTAAAATTGCTTCAAATTTAAGAGCTTTATGGCATGGCCTGAGATAAACATATTAGAAGAAAGTGGAGAACCCAAACTGTAATGGGAGGTGATATTCCTATAAAAAGATTTAGTTAAGATGGGTGAGTAAAAAGCTTTATGTAAATGCAAGAGCATTACCATTGTCTGTGCTAAATAATAAAAAGTTTGTCAATAGACCTATAGCAGTTAGTAGAATTTTAAGGATTGCACCAAACTGGGAACTAGGAGGTAGCCTAATCCTAAATGCAGCTCCAGGATAAACTTGGCACTCAGACTTCTACGATTATCTAAATGCATTATGCTTTCCTTTATCTTGATCTTCATCTGTGATTTCCTCTTTTCCACAACTTCCTTGTCTGGCTGATTTTGCTCATGCTCCCCAGCTCAACTCACATTTGATTTTTCCTAGGAGGTACTCCCATATCTTCCTTAGGAGCACCTTGTGTATGCTTATCTCACAATACTTACCACTCTGTATATATTGCATGGTAATTGCTCACTTACTGGACACTGGCTTCCACACTCCTGGCTATGAGCTTTGTCAATACAGGAACCACGTTCTGTTTACTTTTATGTTCCCAGAACCAAGCAAATGCCTGGTACATAGTGCCCTAAATATTTGCAGAGTGAAAATGCTAGATTCTCCAGTCATTGTGTCCTTTAACTGTTAAATTGGATTTGCTGATCTCTAGGGGCACTTGCACTTTTTATCTGTCCCTCATTCTGTCCCCTTTCAGTACCAGGAGAAAAGTGGGATGTCAATACTACATGGGAAACAAGCTGTATTATCATTTATTGACATTACTTCAATAAACAAATTTAATTGCATTTCAAAGTACTTTTTTTGTTTGTGTAATAAGTATGAATTGTCTTAGTGATTTGAGAATTTAAAATGTTCTCTAATAAATGAAAAAGGCTACCTTTGTTTTTTTTTAATTTTTTTTATTTTTATTTTGTGTACGTGTACCGTCAAATCAGATCTGACTGGTACAGGATATTGCGCCTCCTTCTCCGGCAGAGCGTCTGGTGGATTCGAACCATGTTCCTCTGGGATTGCAGTGCAGTTTCTTGCCACTAGGCCACCAGAGCTCCCCTAAAAGGCTACCTTTGATTGAAATAAACTTCATCATCCTCTCTCAAAGCCTGTTCTCCTCACCAATGCCACAGTCCAGTTGCCTAAATTGAAAGCTGCAAAATCACCCTTGCCCTGTTTTTCTCCATCAGTTCCCACAGGCATTCATATCCTGACCTCCATCCAAATAATTCTTACAGCTGTTGTCTCCTCACCATGCCCTCAGCCAGCACCAAAGACCCGGCTCCTAACATGTCTGACCTTTGCAAGATCTCTGAAGCTTATGTCCTTGCCCTGGCATTTGCATTCTATAGACCATCTTTTGTTCATTCATTGTTCATTTATATATAAATAAATTAATTAACATTTATTATCTCCAGTGTCCATGGGACTTATTAAAGTTACAGAGCAGGAACAAAACCATTTCACTAATTGCTACTCATGGTGACCCCAAATGTGGTAGAGCAGTGATGTGCCCTATACAGGATGTTGAAAAGTTGATTTTTCAGAAGGAAACCACCAGATTTCTCTTCTAGAGTACCTCACATGGAATTGTACTTGCAGTATTTCAGTTAGCAGTGAAATGTGTTCACCACTTATTCTACCTTGAGTAACAAAGCAGAAACAACATCCAGCCAAAGGAGGCATTTGAAGTACATACCCTGGGAAGAATATGTCTCAGACCATACAGTTGATATTTATTTCTAACAGCGCTTACCTTCTTTCTATCTCCACACTGAGAAAGACACACTGTTCTCCAGGATGTGCTTCCCTTTTTGTTCCTCTATGAACTGCGTTCCTACTCAAAGCAGGAAGGATGGGAGAACTTCATTTTATCCAGAAGCCTATGGGATTGGTGCCCTCAGTTTTTCAGTTGACTTTTCTTTCGTAATTAAACCACTCCATGTTATTGTTGTTATTTACCATTGAGTCAGAACTGACCTAAAGCTGACTCTCCAGTGTGTTTTCAGAGGTAGTTAATCTCACAGTAGGAGAGTGCCCATTCTTCTCCCTGCAACAGCTGGTGGATTTGAACTGTGTGCCTTGGGGATCGCAGCACAGCTTCTTACCACTAGGTCACCAAAGCTCCCTTAAACCACTCCACAGGCAGTAAGTTGCCCTTATTGAAGGATTTTACATCTGATGGGGACTTTAAAGCAGACCTCTGCCAATAATAAAGTGATATCTCCTCAGTGTGGTGCACCGTGCCCTGGTTCAATTGCCACTGGAGTCTGAGAAATGAGACCTGGGTTTTCTCTGAGCAAAAGGCATGTTCCCTTAGTCAACCATTTGTGTAAAGTTTTCTCTAGCAACCACCATAGTAAAAATGAAGAGGGTTATAAAAGTGTGAAGGGACTTTTACCTATAAATAAAGAGAAATGTTCTGGTGCCTAATTTATCTAAAAATACGGTGTTACCGACAATGGACATGAACTCAGTGAGGTTGGTACTGTTTTGTGCATTTTCTGCTTCATGTCTCTGACCTTTATCATGGCATTCAAGCAAATTACTTCTACCTCTCTCAAGACAGCTTTCCCACTCAAAATTGCCAGTGTCAGTATAAGCAGTTTTGGGTCAGCAGTTCAAAGTCACGAGCTTCCTCAAAGAAGAAAGATAAGCAGCCTCCTTGTGTAAAAAGATTGCAGACTCGGAAAGTCAATGGAGAGTTGCTCTGAATTGGTGTCTACTTCACAGCAGTGGGTTTGGGGCTATGCAAACACTGGGATGCGCTTTTACCTCCACACAACACACCCAACGTATGTGGGGGGAAATGAAAGAAAAAAAAAAGCCTTCCTATTGTGCTAGGTGAAAAAATATCCAGCTGTCTGAAAATCCTGGACCATTTAATGGCCCTAATCTTTCTGTTCCCAAATACTCTACAGAATCAAGGTGACTTTCTTACAAGAAGCTTTATGCTGCATATCCTAATGCACTTAAAACTTCTTTAAATACTCCAAGAAGGCAAAAAAAGTTTCAATGTCTGAGGAAATTGTCCATGAAATGCATTAAATTTCCTGCCAACCTAAATTCCTTCACTGTTGAAACTCAGCATTAATACTCCTTTGAATGGCCCTGTTATTATGGGTCATTTCACCAGTATTTTTTCACTTTTTAAGTGTGTATCTTTTCTTATTCCATTTACATGAAGTGTATCTTTTCTTTTGCCATCTGCAGAGAGCACTTCCAATGACAAAAACATTTTGCTGCATCAAAATAACTTGAGTTCAACTGAATGAGAAAATGAATCTTCTCAGCCCAAGATAAAAGCTGACAATAAATCCAGATTCCTGTAGGTAAATACCTCTCTAAAAGGCAATATTAATTTTATTTAAGGAGCCACAGTGCTTGATGTGTTGGGTTGCTATCCAAAAAGTAGTTTTCTTGTTGTGTGCCCTTAAATTGGAACCATTCAATAACTGACCTCTAGTGGGTTGTCAGAAGCAAGAAACCCAATGGGAGGCGATGTCCATCCTTCTCCCATGGAGTAGCTATTGAATTAGAACCTTGTGCCTTTGACATTGTAGAATTAGAAACTTGTGCCTTTGACATTGTAGTTGTGCTTCTTACTACTAAGTGACCAGTAGGCTGTAAAATGCACAGGATGCTCTACTGGACAAAGGTAAGCAGTTTCTTGTACAAATTTACACCCTTGTAAAAATGACAGCAGTTCACCATGTGCTTGAACTAATGTGATAGTTGTTGTTGCTGTTGTTGTTGTGTACCATCAAGTCAGAACCTACTCATAGCTGACCCTTTGGTGATTTTCAGAGGCAAGTAATTCCACGGGAAGAGATTGCACATCCTTCTCCCGTGGAGCAGCTGGTGGCCTCGAACTGTGAATGGTCAGGATTGTAGTGCTTCCTGCCACTAGGCCACCAGAGCGGATTAAGTTTGTTCATGGATATTATAAAGGTAATACCCTTTTCCTACAACCAGGAGAAGATAAAGTAGATGAATGGGATCTTCTAAGACTCAAATCTCTATGCACATCCAAAAACTTCTCCAACAGGGTAAAAAGGGAAGCCACTGACTGGAAAAACGTATTTGGCAATAACATATCAGATAAGGGACTTATATCCAGAATTTATGAAATACTTAAGCACCACAACAAGATAAAGGTAAACACTCCAATAGAAAAATGGGTGCAGGATATGAACAGGCA